GGTGAAACCTTGGGCAAGTTTCCTTACTCCACACGCTTGATAATAATCCCTCAAGAAAAAAAATAATAAATTGGTCATTTCAATCCACGACTGTTTGTGGGACACTGCTTTGCGCAATTGGCTGCCGCATTTTGCCCACAAATATACAGTCAATTCACTTTACAGTCTATTCTGTGAAGCGCTTTGAGACATCTAGAAGACGTGAAAAGCGCTATGTCAAAAGCAAGGATTATTATTATATTTAATGGCCACAAATTGTAATGGAGCAAGTGTTCAGGCTGGATTCAAATAAGATCTGCGTACAAAGCAAAGTTGTCAGAATATCACAATTTATTATAGTGTGAAATTATGGTCCTCATTTCTCACCAATTTTATCCATTTCTCCTGAAGTGAGCGCTCCTTTAAGCGCTCTGAGATGCTACCCGTGTGAAGAAAGCTGTATAAATACAAGTTGTTGTTGCACTTATTTTCCTTTTTACAGGGATGCTCCTCCATAGAAGTCACCTCAAGCCATGGCAATTATTCATGGGTGAACCTAGTCAATGAGTGTTTAGCGCACACACACACCAAATGTTCCCTGTGCTCTTTTCTGGTCCTGTACGCAAGGTGACGGCAGCAATTACCACCAAGAACTGGAGCTAACTTTCCCCTCCTTGATCAAGGTACCAACTGCAGAGCCCCGACAGGCACCCCAGGTAAGATCAATTAAATCAGCATGCAATGGGATCCCACTTGGGACCTTCAGGACTTAGCTACTTGACAGTCAAAGTCTGTGACCCATTTGGGAAACAAATTTCTGCTTTTTAAAGCGTAAAATCTAGATAACAGAGTATCTCCTGACATAGGAACATGGGAATGTACAGGATTTGAAAAAAACATTGAGATTTATTTGACTTGACCCAAGCAACAGTAACACTGGAGCTGAGCCCCTTGTGGAAGATTCAGAGAGGAATACTGCCAAGTATGTTATTCTTGGACTGAAGAGCAGATTGCAATGAAAAGGTCAAACGACATCTGTTATTCAAAGAACTGACTTATCGAGTTTCCAAAGAGGTCCAAGAATGCGGAGGAAATACCTAGATCAATCCCATCCTGGAAAGCAGAATAATGAAAGATTTTGGAAGGCCTTCATTAGTTAATATGGCTGACAGAAGGGGCAAGGAATAATCTTATACTGTTTGTCAATCTGAGGTAAAATTATGTGTTGTATATCAAAACATCTATTTTCCAGTGGGCTCAGCACTGAATGAGAGATCGCAGAAAAGTTGACTCTGAAGATGAATATTATACTCTCTAAGAAATATTCATAAGGATTAGAAGCCATGAAAGGGAGAGTAACCCTGTCTCCCAGTAAATTTACCTATTTAGGGCTCATTTTTCATAAAATCTCAGACTGACTGGCTCAGCACTCATACCTCTGAATCAGAAATTTGTGGATTGAAGCTCCATGTCAGGACTTTGAGCTTGCAGTTTAAACTGACACTCCAATGCAATGCTGCGGGAGGCTGCATTGTCAGAAATGCCATCCTTCAGATGAGATATTAAACTGAGGACTCGTCTCCCTGTTCAAGGTGTTGAAAATCTTGTTGCATTATTTGAAAAAGAGAAGGGAGTTTTCTATGTCAGTAGCTGATTGTTTCACAAGTACTTTGGTTTGTAAACCTTGGATCTACTTATCCTGGAGAACCCAGGTTTTGAAACTCTTCAGGGATGGTTCTGTCGAATTTGTACACTATTCTGCAATCATCTTTAGATTTCTAATCTCAAAAGACTGAGACTGAAGGTGGGTTTGTAATCTTTGTCATTTTGATTGAGTATTGAAAAATATCAGTGCACTAGCTTTTTCTCATTAGTTCAAGGGCTTCCAAGTCTGTGGTACGTCTTCCCTCTCACTCTTCATTTCCTTACACAATCTACAGGCTTTTAGAAAACAAAATCAACAAGGCTCTCAACTTTTGGTATCTTCCCGCTCTTTTCAACCATGGTTGTATCCTGAATTTAAAGCCACAATCCTTCCCGAGGTTCTCACTGGTTTAAAGGAAAAAACACAAACATTCCTAGTCAAATATAACCTGTTCTGATTTAGCGGACTGGTTGACTAATGACCTTCAAGGACAGAAACACCTTGCTAAGATAACTTGATTGATTAAGATACCTTTCCTCTCTTAAACTTTGGCTATTTGTGGAATACTGCTGCGTGCAGACTGGCTGTCACATTCACCCTCAAGTATAGTCATTGCACATTAAATCCTGTGAAATGCTTAAAACATTTCAACAAAGTGATATCAAATGCAAGGATTACTTTTTTCAAAAATTACATTCCTCTGACAATATGAACTGCTCTGGACTACATAGGTATTTGTTGTTTGAAACCTCTCCTAGAGAACACACAACCATCTCAATGTTAACAACAAACCTAAAAGATAAATTTGCTGCCTATTAAGGTTCCCTCTTTCAGTGGATTATCCGTCAGTTATCCATCATAGGCTATTTTGACAATAGCCTGAATTGGAGGCACCTGCTTGTGGATGAAGTTTCATTCATACTCTGCCCTGTGAAATGTAAACATTTCATATTTGCACATCTGGAAGTGGAGCTTTGCAGTTTTGCTCAAAAATAGTTAATTGGCTTGTTTAAGAATCTCAGTCTGGTACAGTCCCTGTAGGATTGAACAAGTTGTTTGTTATTTTTAAATGAATAAAATGTACCTCTGTGATTTGTGAAATTGATCAATGGGGGGAAAATCACTTTTCACTTCAAGTCCCACTGGATCTCTGCCCAAAATCAAATGGTTAGAGTGCGTTTGATCTCAGATATTTGAGCATAAGCGCCTACCTAATGACTCAAATAATCAGAATTCTACATAGAATTAGTGTTGGAATTGTTGTATATGTGGAAAAAAAATGTTCCTTGAAAACAATGAATCAAGTTGCAATCTGTTATAGCAAAGTGAGAACCACATTTAATGATCTTTATAATACAAAGGAACAAAGTCAGACATTAATGCAGTATGGTCTGATTGCCAGTGAAACTAGGTTCTTGGAACCAGTAAGTAGTTATGTTGAAGTACCAAAGAGCACCCATAGGGACAATATGATTTGCAATCCCTGTACCCTCAGGAGCTCCTAAACCTAGTCTCCTACAAGGGAAGATCACCTCCTTCCAAAATGAGTAATATTACTCCAATAAACCAAACTCCAAGACATTTTATATATATATATATATACACACACACATATATGTATCAACAATAATAATATAATAATAATAATCCTTGCATTTGATATAGCGCTTTTCACGTCAGGAGGACATCCCAAAGCGCTCCACAGAACACACTGTAAAGTGAATTGACTGTATATTTGTGGGCGAACGTGGCAGCCAATTGCGCACAGCAATGTCCCACAAACAGTCGTAAATTGAAAATTACCAATTTATTATTGTTTTTTGGTTTTGGAGGGATTATTATTAGGTGTGTGGAGTAAGGAAACTTGCCCAAGGTTTCGCCCTCTGCCTGGAATTGAACTCAGGTCTCTCGCTTGCAAAGCGAGTGCTCTAACCACTGACTACAGGACTCCACAATGTAAGGTGAATGACATTATGTGAAGTGTAACAATCAAGATGTGGGTGTGAATCTTGCAGTGTGGGTATTCTAACAAGATATTGATAAAGTGCTATTTGAAGTAAAACAGGATTGAGGGCAGTATATGAACCAGAGAGTGATCTTTGCTGATCAGTTCCAAAAATGAAAGGAGCACTCTTCATGCACAGATTTCTTTCTGAACTCTATGGGTTTCATTAGCATAAATCAGGTTGCCACAGGCAGCTTCAAACCAAATTTCAAAAGGCAGTTCACCAATGGCATTTCAAACAAAAGGGCATCCATAGCCCAGGAAAGCAGCAAATCAATGAGGCAGCACGATAACATATTCACTGTGGACTGAGAGCAAACATCAAGAGATCAACCAGAACCATAAAAAAACTGATACTGTCATTTACAAGAGTTACTGGACTCTGTCTGTGTCTGTCTGTGGGTGTGCGTGGTGTGCATAAAAAACATCAAAAAGATTTGCTTGTTCCTCAGTTTGGAGGTGAAGTTAATACACACACAATGCCAGCTTCATTTACAGGTGGATTTTTGACTTGCACAATTTAAAGAACTTACTTTTGAGTATCTACCATTTAATCTGAACTGCATTTTGTAACATATAAGGCTCGACTCAGTTATAGTTCAAAACATGTCACTTATTTTCATTTCCCAAATACTGTCATGATGTTTCCGAGACTGGGTATCATTAAACTATACGATAAACAAGCAGTTGTATGACTACAAAGGTAGATCATTCAGTGTTTGCCATTTCTTACAGTGGGAACAAGCCCTCTTGCCTCAGCTTGTTCAGACGTTGGAATCAAAACATTTTTGCCTGTTGGGTCACCGTCCTTGCAGGCTTCCTTAAGCAAGTTTACAAAAGTAACATTCAACTCCAAAATACAAGATAAAAAACAGTTCAGGCTGCCACAGCAGTGTGTTGTATCAGTGTGATGACATTTGCACCACATTCTCAAGACACAATAAACACAGTGGAGGTCAACTCAATGCATCAGGAGAAACAGAGAGAAAAACAGAAGTTATCCCTTGATTATCAGACAGGTGCACACGCAGACACACACATGAAGCTTGGCTGTTGCTTTCTGAGCAATGTTGAAGGCATAAGAGCATGTCACCTTCTGCACGGGGTGAATTAATGGTTGGGCAACGCAATCAAAAGAGCAGAGCAAAAAATAGTTCAAAAGCAGAATGGAGATGGAGGAAACCTCCACCCCATGTCCATGTGAATGGGCTGTAGGTGCCCCAATTGCAGAGACGCCATTGAAATGAATGAAGATTAACACATTTGAAGGTATCTTTTATCTGTCTGAATGGAAAGCGACACCTATTGCTGTATACAAACTTGTAACAAATTGCTCAGTCATAACCAAGAAAGCAGGTTGCAGCTGCCTACCTGTGAGATGTGGTTGATGGATGACTCCATGCGTCGGAGCTGGGAAGCCTGGATGTCCAGCATCTGGAGTACATTGTTAGCTAAGGTGTTTATCAGGTAAGCTACGCTCGCTAAGGACTGGGTCGTGTATGCTTTGGTTTCTTCCAGAGCTCGCTGTTTATCTGCAGCCTAGAAGAAAAGAGATTGTTTATTAATCCAAATAGAAACCAAACTAAACCCTAAATCCAGGCCAACTATATATTCTGTAGTTTAAACGTATAGCTTTACACTCGTTTGTGAAAGCTGCAAATTGTGTTAAACTGAGCAATACAGACCCTGTATGTCCCAAGTACAATTCCTGTCTCAATAGAGGAACGCCCCTTTTGAAGCCCTTTTAAAGTTCAACTTTTGCATCAGTAGAAAACTTAATACTGGGCCAAAGCAACTGAAGAGAATACATGCGTCTGTGGTGGGCTCAGCCAACCTGTAAATACACTCCATTCCCACTGAAGTAACCTTTAAAAGTCAAACTGAAATTCCATATGGAAAAAGGAAAAGTTCATTCAAGGTTATGTTCTCCCTGAAGACAGACTGGAGGAAGACTGTACAATCTCCTGTCGAGTATTTCAATTTCTGTGGTATACACACACAGGAGTGAGCAACTGAATACAGCGCCTTGTAACAGAAACACAAGTGATTTAGTGCCTCTCACACGCGGGGTAAATTAGTATTCTGCAGTTTGATATGGAAATATATACAGATGCACACTTTCCCACTTTGCTGTGCATTGGTATATCCTCCCCTTCTGCTATGGTGTAGTGAGGCAGCATCATGTAATGGCTGAAGAAGACTAGGCTTCTTATTGCTATGAATGCATCAGGACATTTCTTATCGGGCAAACGCACACCACAAATGCTACTTATCTTATATCCTTGTCTACAAATTCCACAAATTATGCTGGAAATTTCAGCCATTTGCAATTCTCAGTGGATAGTTAGGTATGCACACTAATGATAGGGCCAGAAAAGCCTGCTGCATGCATTCAATAAAACTGCTCAAACGAGCATACAGGTAAAATATGTAATGGGCCAGTCATTATTTTCATTGTTCTTTCCTTTTATTCCTCATTTACTGTAATAATATTCCTTGCAATTGAATATAGTGCCTTATCAAGCCTTCGAAACGTCTCAAAATATATTCACACAATATACTTTAAAGTGAATTAACTGTATAATTTGTGGGCAGCCAATTGCACACAGCAGTATCCCACAAACAGTGGTGGAATGAGTGACCAAATTATTTTTTTATATATAAAGGGATTATTACTCCCGGTAAAGCATTCCGCCAATTAACTAACAATCGGGTTCCTACTTACTGCTAGGTAAAGAGAGGCGTGTGGAGTAAGGAAATCTACTCAAACCCAGGTCCTCTCGCTAGTGAGATGAGTGCTCTAACCACTAAGCTACAGTAACTGCTCCTCTCTCATCATCAGATGCATGGTGAGGGGGGAAGACAAAATCAGAAACAATCTTCTCTTCGGCACCAGTTTACGTGCCTAACCAATGGTCTCAGTGTTACGTTTTCAGATGAATTTATTACCTCCCGCCCCTTCACAATACACCTCACCCATGGCACAGGTCAAATTTACCTCACTATTTTTAACACTAACAAGGAAAATGGGAAGGAAATGACATAACCAGGTCTTAGTTCCTCATACAAAAAAAACGTCTATTTCCAGGTAATTGCAGTGATACCAAGCAGAAAAGTAAGGAACTGCAGTTAGCTTGGTTTAGTTAAAGAGGCCCGAAGCATTGACCTTTCCACTAAACTGGAACCTCGACTGATCAACTGTAGCCAACAGCAATCAGTCACTGTGCTCCAAGAAGCAAACCCTCTTCGGAATAGAAAAATTCTGAAGTACAAGGGGCTTTTCATCTGGAACCAGCTTCTTTCATGCTGTGTTTAAACTGTGTGACTTGCCACCAAACATGTTATATAAATGGAAAGTGGGATGCACTGGTATGAAGCATGCTGGGGCCCCACTCCTGACTTCTGTCAGGGGGTGGTGTGAATCACAGTGGGTTCTCTCTCTCTGCCCTGCCACCATCGACTCTTCCACACACAAGGGAACTGCATTTACAGACTTTTGTTTACGGCATAAAAGCCTTGAATGTGTCATCAGCAAACATTGGAAAACTAACAATTCTAGTTTATACATAAACCATGTATAAATTGCCAAAAGCTTCTGACCCGACAAGATGCTCCAGGGTACTTCCTCCATCACGTAACATATCTATGAAGCCGTCAAAAACAAATTGTCTCAGATTTAATAAAGATATTTCCTATGTATTTCTTAACATATTCTGTTTCAATTAAGATAACAATTTGTCTCTCGTCTAACAAGCTGAGTTTTTAAGGCCTTGTTGTTCGATCCCATCCTCCTAAAAGGATTAACTGAGACCTAGACAGAGCTGAAGATAGGCACTGGCTATCCATGGTACACTGACTCACTCAACAATTCTTTAGGTGTAAGCCTGATAATAACTGTTAGCTGAACATTGCGACACCAGGGAACAGGGCCAAGCTCAATCTTGCCCTTACTCAGTACCCACATCAGACCAATAAACCTCAGGAGGGAGCTTCCCCATCTCAGCCCCATACTTCACAGTGCGGTAACTGACTAAATAATCAGAGAATTCAGCTTCCTTCTCTGTTCTATGCAGGACTTCTCATATATCGTGAAGTCAGAAAAGAGAGTGTAGGGTGGGGGTGGGAGAAAGAGAAAGTGAGTTAGTTCCCTTTTTATCAACCTGTTCGTGGGAGCAAGAAAGCTTGCAGACAATGATATCAATGGCAAGCTATACGGTTTTAGCTGGTTTGACTCCAACAGTACCCCACACCCCATTCTAAGGTCCCCAAGCCTTGGCTCTTGCCATTGTGTACCTCATACTTTCCAGGTAAGCAGGATGTGTCCCCTCAGAAAGAGAATGCACATTCCATTCCAACAAATATCTTGGGAATTTTCATATATAAGTGGGATACATGTTGGGTTTGGTTTGGATACTCTTAAGTATGGTGATGGGTTTCTGCACATGTCAAGACACTCAGCTGACCCCCCAAAAATAATTCCTGTAAACTGGGCAGAGATCAGGTTCGCTAAAATCTCATCTGGTATTTCAAACTGTCTACAAACTGGAGCAGTTCATAAATGGGATGAATCTAAGACACTAATTGGATTTTAGTTCTGAGCTTATATCCTAACATCAAACCTCTGTCTCAATAGAGAATTATCATAGGGGATTGAAAGAAAACACAAAATAGCAAATGATTATTTTCAGACTCTGGAGTCAACTCCCCAAGATCAGAAGTCTCAGCCAGCGCACTTTGGAAACATATTGTGAAGTTAACAAATAAAATTCCAATGGAAAATTTAAACAAATTGGTTACTTATCTTGTTGTTGTTTATAAGATGATGCTGTTTATAAGATGATGCCGGTGCAGATTAGCTGCTGTGTTTGCCTCCACAACATTCACTTCAAGTTTAATTAGTTTCATTCTGTAAAGCGCTTCGAGACTTTTTAGATGAAAAGTACTTCTAACTCCAAGATGTTAGCATTGCTGGAGAAAACTCAAATCCTAAATTAAGGATTCATAATTTAATTTCAAACACAAGTTGCAATTTCAACTCTGAAAGGGATTAATTTCGAGCAAGGTGGAAATGCAGATGCTCTGGACAAAGCCAGGAGTCAGAATTTTTCATAAATAAATATTTGGCGTATCTTTTTGCTGAGCCGCAAATGTGCAATGCATTAACTGGAGTTGCATCAAAACCACCATTTATGCAACTGATGGGAGTGATATGTTTGTACATTTCCTCTCAAACCTTCAAAGGACACCCAAAAGCTTTTTAAAACGTAAAGCGGGAAAGATTCTTTAGAAGAACAAAATAATGACTCAATTTATAAGTTGATAGTAATTCAATCTTAGGCCCTAGTAAAATAGTTATAAAAAATGTGTTTTTTGGTAACTTGCAGGGACAGGATGTTGATGTAATTACAAAAAGGTTGGAGGGTTTGAAAGCATTAATGCCAAATGTCACAATTATTGGTTAGTCTGTGCCACGTGACTACTGGAAGCACATCTCACTGGTCACGTGCTGCCCAATGCTACTCAGGTATATGCAAGAATATTGATAATGTTGTACATTTTGTTGTTTCAGCGCTTTGAGACATCATTCCATCGTGAAAACCGCTATATCAAATCCATTTATTATAAATATTATATTAGTCTTCAGACGATTCTGTGTTCAGTGAGAAGTTAAGCCTAGAAAGAATAACAAACAGCAGATTTGGTCTTAGCTGAGAGAAATTGATCTCAGCTAGGGAAACAACAGATACAGAACTATCAGCTTCAGTGATTTGAGTTTGGGAAAGGAAAAAATGTTCAAGAGTTCAAGTTCCTGATGGCTACCCAGCAATCCCTGCATGTGTGGACCTCAGGTGAAGGCAGGATATGGCTCACTTGTGTTGTCTCACACAAGTAGACTGTCGACATTCATCAGTGAGGATCATTGACTGCTCGGGTGAAATACTGGAGTGCTATTGCCACCCATAAAACTAGTCTCAAACCAAAAAGTACCTTCAAGTGAGGAAGGTACAAAAATAGCATAAGCCAAATGGAGGGTAGTCATTACATGGCTGATACAAATATTGGAACATGGGGTCTCTCCTATGATTCCCAAAGCCTTAAACTCCTGATTTCCATGCCTGCGTTCATTAAGCAAAAAGAATAGAAATCAGGACACGGCAGTGACCTTGGGTACTCCTGTACGTCTCTCACAGGCTGGCTGCAGAGCGGCAGACACTTGGCAGGAGTCACCTCTCATTCTCTTGACTGAAGAATAACCGTGGGGCATGGTGGAGTGGATTTGGGGTCAGAGTCCTGTAGCTCAGTGGTTAGAGCACTCGCTTTGCAAGCGAGAGACCTGAGTTCAATTCCAGGCAGGGCGAAACCTTGGGCAAGTTTCCTTACTCCACACGCCTAATAATAATCCCTCAAAAAACCCAAAACAATAATAAATTGGTCATTTTCAATCTACGACTGTTTGTGGGACATTGCTGTGCGCAATTGGCTGCCGCGTTCGCCCACAAATATACAGTCAATTCACTTTACAGTGTGTTCTGTGAAGC